GAGGAAAGAGAACAAAAAAAAAATTAGAAGAAGTTGCATATCAAGGAATTAATGTATCCATCGTAAACATTTTTAATATGGTAAAGTATATCCTATAAGATTTGTAACCATTAGCCTTTCTCAATGCACTAGAAGAACCTGGCTGTTTCTCCAGGAATTTATTTGCGTTAGGTGATTACATGAGCTCTAGTGTTAACTGATGAGTTTTTCAGTAAATGAGGTTATTGTTTATCCCTGGGTGTGAGGCTTATTTGTGGGTGGGTTTTCAAACTACCCAGAGTCAAACTGTCTCCCCCCACACCTCTCTCACTCACATTCACATACAGATATAGTTTTATATTAGCAAGCCATGTTCAAGAGGTACTATCAATTCTGAATATCTACCTATCTACCCTGTTTCCCTGAAAATAAGACCTCTCTGAATAATAAGCCCAATTGGACTTTTGAGCTAAAATAAGCCCTCCCCCGAAAATAAACCCTCCCCTAAAATATTTCAACACAACAGCAGCCATGAGGTGACCACGCTCGCTGCCTTCTGCACCTCAAAAATAAAGAGACCTCCCCAAAAATAAGGCCAAGTGCTTATTTGGGGGGTCAAAAGAAAATAAGACCCTGTCTTATTTTCAGAGAAACAAGGTATCTATCTATCTATTTATTTATCTATCTACCTACCTATCTCCATCCATTCATCAATATTTCTGAACCACCCATTTGGTTCCTAAACCACTCACAGAGGGACTTTATATGTGATGAGAAGGGACCACTCCAAAAAATTCACCATAAACACCATCTTCAATAAAACCATCATCTTTAAAAAAACAGATGCCACCAAGCCAACTAGCATTGGGCTTTACCTCTATATGAACAATGGTATTATTCAGAAGGATAAAATAAGGAATAGACCCTAAATTACAGACCAAGATCAAAGAGAGATTCAAGAAGAGCCATTATTGCCCCGAAATCAGGATTCTATTATTGCAGCCTCACATACTGGAGAAAGGAGGAAAAAAAATGTTTCCTGATATTCCTTAGCTACAAATACATTCTCCATCATTCTGACAAACATTAATTATCTTTAAGGGTCAATCATTTGTGGCTGATGGGCACCTCTGAAATTTTGAAAACATATTAGAAATGCTCTTAGAAATTATTGCAATGAAGATTGCTTATTTATAAAATAGTTATCACAATGGGAGTGACCATCACAAGGCATCATCTTACCAGAAGAGGTAATACTGCTCTTAATTATCTTCTCTAGATTAAGTTAGAGGCTGATACTTTATTTTGTAGCACAACAGGTTCCCATGTGTTTATCTTTCAATTAAATATATTTTAAAATCAGGTTTAGGAGGAAACTTTATACAGTAGTAGCCAAGAAAATATTCATAGACACATAGGCATATTGATAAGGGCATCTCTGATTTTACTTATGAGTAAATGTAACTGCTTAAATTTCATATACTCACTAGATTTACACTTCCACACTTGTTGAATTGACTCATTTCAAGAATCCAAAAATTCCTACCTCCTGTTTTTCAGGTTCACCATAAGGCCCCCACATTACTCTGTAGAGAGCTACATCAGGTGCTCCGTGATCCCAAGTACCTCTGAAACTAGTTGTGGTTACTTGATCTGTTCTCAAATTGATGGGTGCTGGTACAGGTACTGTAAAGTGGAAAAGAGAGAGAAAAAGTCTATGCTTATATACTAAATCACTAGATACAGAAATTTACTGCGTAAGACCTTTTTGTTTTGTGGGAATCAGTGGTGGGTTGCAGGCGGTACGCCCGGAACACCAGGTACCATTCAGGTAGTGCGCCGGAGGGCCTACCCATCCACCCACACTCCTTACCTGTCCTTTAAAGCCTTCGGGGCTTCTGCGCACGTGCATGGCACGTACAGCACCTGCGCAACGCTCTGCCAAGCAGCTGGAGCATTGCGGAGGCATCGCTGGAAGGCATGTGTGCGCGCATTAATGTGGAGGATGCTGGGGCCCGTTGCAACCAATATGGTTGCAACGGGATCTGGAACCCACCATTGGTGGGAATATACACAATAATTTCCCCATTTAGAACAATCTTCACTTTTTCTAAAGCTTCCCATATGTCAAATGTTGGTAGAGCTAATATTTACACATGGCAAGTTCAGGCCCATGAATGCTGAGAAAAACTCCCAACAAGTCAAGTTTCAAAACTCTATTTCAATGTTTTTTAGAGAGGAAAACTAATTAGGGAATTGCAGAAGTGATTCAATTGTCATAGAGCTGAATGCAAGACGTGATCTTATTGCAGTAATAAACTAGAAGATGATCTGTTTGTGGTTCTCCCAGGGTCATATGTACAGCTATTGTAGAAAACTATCACAATTCAATAGAGATGCTCTTATATTGCTTAATTGGAAGCATTATGACATAAAAGGTACCAATTAGAACATGTTGGACTGATAACACAGACGCGATATTGTTAATGTGAAGCTATGAAATTGAAATAAGTCTAATTTTTCAAATTATGTATCTTTAGGCTTAAGATTGAAATATGCCACCCATACTGCTGATTATATTTTTTTCTGGTTGGGATAAGAAGAAGCCTATTCACTATTGATACATTGAAAGAGGCTTAATCAAAGATTTCAGATAATTTTACTTATTTGAATCAGATATGGAATCTATGTATGACTTCAGAAGTGGGACTATTGAATGTAATAATGAAGCAATGTTGTTAGATTATATTTACAAAAAAAAAAGAAATTCATAATCTTGTCACATAGGAATCATGTACATATTAACTCAGCCAACCAACACACATCATCTCCACAAAAATTATATCCCCCAATTTTCAATGACTTTCATCATTTTATTAACAGCTCATCCACTAAACTTTACCTTGGCAACAGCAGTGGAAACAAATGCTCAGCCCAAAGAGATTGGGGCACTAAAGAGTTCTGATTTTGTAAAGGATTCCCACATGGCGACAAGAAACAACAATGTTGTCCTAGAGAACTTCCAACCCAACTCAAGGTACCAATGCTGTCCAACTTTCATTTAAAAATATTCAGAGAATACATAAACTAGGCACTGCAACATGCTCTACCTGGGACTACCCTTGAAAATGACTTGAAAGCAGCAGCAGCTAAAGGGTGAAGTGTAATTTCAAGGTAAAACACATTGAAACATCACACTTCTTATGGTGTGGAACATGCAACCTTAAAGGAAAAGGGATACATCTGCCTAATTACCCAAGGCTGCCAATTAAACCAGTGGATTGATAGATGTGGTAGCCAGATCGCACAAAACAAGAACAAAAGAAGGAATGCAAAGAGAACAATTTCTTTTGTAGATTTTTTTTTTGCTTGTGGTGGCAAATGCAAATCCATATCCAGAAAAGAAAAGAACAGACAGTTATTGGACAGTTATTAGGCCATGCAAAGATCTGTTAATGATCCACTTCAAATTGTGAGTAAACTTTATGGTGCCATGGCTTTTGAAAGGCTATAGCTGCTTCAAAGATCATTATTATTTTTATATTTCATCTGGATATACTGCATTTCAAGCAGATTCTTTCTTAACAAATGTATCAGCCAAGCAACAGATGAGCGCCTTGATAAAAAAAAACATCATAAAAGCACTGATACTCATTCACAAAGGTATGTAAATGCAACACACAACTCTTATCTATTTAAAGCGACAACATTCTAATGTATTTTCAGCATAACCATCTATAAAACCGTATTTCAGGCCACACCCTTGTATGAGAATCTAAAGAAGCCCATTAAGCAACAGCATAGACTTACAAGTGGTGGCTTCTGCTGCTACGGGCACAGACAGCCCTTCGTCATATTCTGCAGCAAGTTCTACATGGTAGAGTGTTTTTGAAAAAAGATCAGGAAGAGGCGTGCTGGTCTGGGATGGATCCACTTTTATCTGCATAAACAAATTAGCCAGATTTCTTTCTTGACACTTATTTCACCAGGCAGTAGAAAGTTTACAACTATTTCTAATATATTAGAATTCCAGTGTATGTTTATTTTCAAACGAGCTACACTATCGGACATTAAACTGCATATATTATCTGGGATATTTTTTCAAACTACGAAGGAACAAAATTCTACACTTCTCCAATGATCAACTTAAAATATGTGGCACTTCCTTTATTCAATCTGTTTGAGAAGTGCAATGATAGACTGCTGTTTGTAGCTGTTCAAACTAGTATTCCAATATGTGGGGTGAGTAGCAATAACACTTAGCAATAGCACTTAGACTTATATACCGCTTCACAGTGCTTTACAGCCCTCTAAGCGGTGTACACATTGACATTCACATTGACCCCAACTACCGGGGTCCTCACATTCATTCAAGTTCTGTTGACTCAGGCGGCTTCAAAGAGATGCTATGGCTCTCACAATATATTTCCAGGTGTGTCATTATGCACATTAGAAAAAAATTACATTATTTTCAACATGTTATTACGTGAATATCATAAATCACAATGAATTTGATTTGTTGCCTAACAACCCTATTTCCATTGCATCAAGATATGACAAATCAACTTTTCACAGTGGTTATTCTCCCTGTTTATATCACGTCTTCTAAATGACTGAAAACCAAATATTGTCAATTTTTAATACAGCCTGAATTCCCATCTTTATGCTAATATTCCCATTTTTTTTNCGCGCTTTTGTGGAACGTGGTTTTGACGGGTCACATAAAATACAATGTGCCTCTTCTTCCGGCACCTAATCCAGCCTAGCAGTCCCAGCCATTCTGAACCAGTATCAGTAAGATATTACTAATGCCTTTCTCTGTTTAATTTGGTACTATGTAATAAGGAAAATTTTTGCTCAAGTGAGTATAGTTTAAGATTTACAACCAGCAGCCGCAAACGCATGCATGCATTCGCCATATGTTTTAGCCAGAAATAATGGATTTGTTTCCACTTAAGCTTACTCTTGTGCTTAAAATTCTATTTGTAGATTCATGTGAAATGCACGTGTATGAATAAACTGTAGTGACTGATGAGCGAGCCTTTATTTCAAAATTTAGGAATCTAAACTGAGCAAAATAACTTCCCTCCCCCCGCCCCAAATAAGAACCAAAATAATCTGCCTCCAAATCTGACCTCCTGTGGTGTCCCTCCTCGGGCAGGATAATATTCAACTCTGTATCTATCCACGCTCTCAGTGGGTGCAGTCCAGGACACTCTAAATGAAAGAGGGGTCACTTCAGAAGTAACTAGGTTGGTGGGAGGCAGAGACAAATCACCTGATGTGAAAAGAAAAAAATGGAATTTAGGGTAAGGAAGTCTTGATGAGAAGGTTTGCCAGAGATGACTCATAATCAAAGCAATAAAATACAGGTTTTCTTAAGCACATAGGAACACTTTATTATGAAGTATTTATTATTTCAATATTAAAGCCATTTCCATATTGAATGGAGCTGTATCTGAACTACGTTCATAACAGAAGTTATAGGAAAACAAACCGCGCACAATGAGAGAAAAATTGAGCAATTTGACAGCAGAAGCAATGACCCAGAGAACTGGTATTTATCTCCCTCTCTGCTGGATGTATTCAAACAGAAACTGAACCTGTCAAAATGCTTTAGGGAGAAAACATTCCATTTCAGGTCTATGATTCTAATCAGACAAGGCATCCTAATAAAAATCATTCTGTGATTGCACATTTTAATGTGTTAACTTCTCTAGGCATAGATGAAATACATATGGGTGTGCATGCCAAAAGAAAGCAAATATGAAAAGAATTGCATTCCTACATAGACCAGAGAAATGGATATCTTGTTCAGAAACTCTCCGCTTGACCACATTCCAAGAGAAATTATGCAGACACCTTTTTCTTGAGCACAAAACAAAACCCCAAAAGGGTAACATACCTGATCCTTTCACGCTATTGCACAGATTATCGGTGACACTATCAACAATGTTAACCAGAAGGTTAAAATCTTCAACATTGAAAGCATGGGTGTCATCTGGATCACTTGCAATCTGTTTCAGTTCATTCACATCCGCATTTTTAATACCTTAAAAATTGTGAGATAACACATTTTAAGTAATTATTTGTCAATTATTTGAAAAAGCATCTAAATATGAGCAAATTATTATATTCCAATGCCTTTCTGTACTGATTGCCTCTTCACTTGATACTCACCGATAGCAAAGATCTCTATTCCTTGTTCCTTCAATCTGTCTGATGGAATATTTATGTCATCCTGTGATTTGCCATCAGTAATGAGGACAGCAATTTTTTTAGCTCCAGGCCTCAAGCCAGCTTCAGTCTTAAAATTGTTTCTTAAGATAAAGCTCAAAGCCATTCCTGAAATCATACACACACATATATAAAATGAAAGTTAACATCCAAAAATATTATAGCCTAATTTACAAGGAGACACATCAGTTCTTCCTGATCTACTTTGAAGCCTATTATACTTTCCTTTTGCTAGAATCATAATTCTATTCTTGCATTCTTGTATCTTCTATTCATGAGACTAAAGGTTGCCAGATAAGATACCTGTTCTTGGCCCATTCACAACAGAAGAAGCAAAACCTCCAATACAATTACCAGTGTCTCACTCCTACTTGGGGATCATTGTAGACTGAGATAGGATAGGAAACTGTTTCATAGGATAGGAAACATGAGGGCTGGTGAGCTAAAAGCACAGTAATACCATACTACACTCTAGGAATATATAATTTTGTGAGTCTCCCCCCCTCCCCCCGCCCAGTATAACGTATACTGGAAAAATCAATAGCAAAAAAGAAGGCCAATTTGGTCTAGTGATTAAGGCACCAATTAGAAAGTGGGAGATTATGAGTTCAGGTTCTGCTCTAGCCATGAAAGCCAGCTGGACCGTCATTCTCTCTCAGCCCACCCATCTCACAGGTTTGTTGCTGTGGGGAAAATAGGAGGAGGAGGAGGAAGATGTATTGGATATGTTTACTGCTCGAATTGTTTGTTAAGAAAAATAAATAAATACATATACACATACATACCTGTAAGTGTGTTGCCTCCTTTATATGGCAAATTGGCCACAGCATCCAATAAACGCTGTTTGGTTGGATGGGCATTGAGGTTCCATTCTGTTCTTGGATCTCCACTATACTGTGCAAGAGCTGGGGAGAAAATGTAGTGTAATTACAAATTCTCTTTGAATAGTATCCCTCAAAATATTCCCATTAGCTTCAAAACTTACCGACTTGCACTTTGTCTGGGCCAATATCAAATACTTGGACGATGCTAGCAATAAAACTCCGGACTGTTTTAAAATTTGTTCGGCCAATGCTCCAAGAACCATCCACCAGCAATACAATATCTGCTTCAGCTCTGGTTTTACATTCTAAGCCTATTACAGCAATCATAATATATCTCAGTTAGTTACAAACAACTTTTTTCTTCAATCCTATCTTACATTATATATAATGAAGATTTTAATTAACTTGAAGTTCTTCTATGTAAGTTTTGATTAACTGAAGCTCTTATATGATCATTTCATCTCTTGCTAATAATGAAAAAGATGTCCAAGGTTGCATACATTATTAATTTAAAAATATTATTGTCATATGTACTGCATACTGATTAGATGGAATGTAAACACAATTAGAACCAATTTCATAATAGAATTAACCCTAAACCTAAGTAAACTTAGGTAATCAACTATTACTTCTGCATATTCATCAGTTTAAATCAAGAATGCTTAATGGTCTAAATTATAGGTATGAGTAACTGTCTTTAGAGCTTAATACATATGCATAACACAGCACATTAACAGCTATATATGCTAATTGATGCAGATGGTGCAGATATTTGCACATTTAAATCACAAAAAGAAGCACAACACAAATAAGGTAACAGAAACAAACACATAAAAGAATAGAAGTGACAAAAACACACATTTATAAAAAGTATTAAATGCTTAGAAAGAAAACAATGCCAGGAATTTTCAATGTATGAGAATAAATATAAGAGTTCACTTTCCATATGTTGGAAATGACAAGTGTATTTATTACAAAGCAAAAACAGCACAGTTATTTTTAAACAAGCCTTTCAACAACTATTGTAATTGTTTAAAATGCATTCTTCCTCCTTCTCTTTGCTCTGAAGTTCATGTTATCAGCTGCAAAGCATTCTGGCTTGGTTCCATCTTTACATGGAAGGAATCCCACTGAGTAAAAATCAAGCACACTCATCAGAGTTAAGATGGGTTCATTTATGTTTCACATCATTGCTCCAATATTCAGATTTATTGAGAACAGCTACTCCAGGGACCTGAAGATTTAAAAGTATGACTTTCTTCTGCGTAAAACAATAAATTCTAGACTTTAATCAATACAAATAACATAAATCGGGAAACAGAATAGAGCTTACGAATCATGCATTCTGGACCACAATTAAAAAGCTAAAGGTCTATTCCACGCCCCTCCACATATTTTAATGCCATGGGAGCGATATTGAGAATGGAAGTATCTGGAATATGTGCTGAAATTGCAGAACAATATAGCCCCAAAGACTGTGCTGAATTGGGCATGCAAACAGACATTCCATCATTTGAAAGGCCTTCTAAATGGAAAAATCAACGCTACCTGTTACATAGAGATTTCTACTTTTCCATTTGGGAAAATTCTGGCAGATAAACTGTGAGGTTTTTACATAAAGAGAGCACGCTTTAAAATGCCATCATATAGAGATGCTACTATCAATATAGTATAAAATATATCATTACTCTATGAAAGCTGTTACTTCGGTCATTAAACACCATGCACTGTTTTCCTTATTGAAACTATATTTACCTGTAGTTAATACTGAGACATCTGGAACATCTGCAAGTGTTGTCTTTTCTTCTCCAATCAGAGGCATACTTTCACCTCCTTCAAACATTCCAAATACATTGACTTTATAGGAAGTGTCTGCCCTGCATGATTGAAAGATAGATGTGTGCTATATACATTAAAGCAAATTAGTTTATGCAGATTCTTCCACTTTCTTTTCTTTCCCCCGAGCATGTTTAAAAAGTGAGAACATATATGTTTTACCCAGAGGGGGAGGGAAGGAGGGGGAGACTCATAAAATATGATTAGGCTAAGGGGGAGAGGGTCTCCACTAAAATAATAGAGAAAATTTGGGGTCTGGAATAGGGATTGAGATCTCAGTTGCTCAATTCCTAATTCAGATGCTCAAACCATAACATGTTTTCTTCAATTTTTTTAGAGAATTAGAAGGAATTAAGCGGTAGGCTTTCTGAAACTTTTGCTAGCATTCATCAGGTAAGACTGGAGTTGTATGAAATGACTTTATTGCAGCTATAGCTCAATACTAATTAGTATTATATTTCAATTGTTTCAATAGGACAACTATATTCTAACCATTGTATGAAACATATATATTATCCAGCAAAAAGGATTCAGAGTTCTAAGACTCAATCTCATTTTCCAGTGAAACACTGGTGTATTTTATTGNATATATATATATATATATATATATATATATATATATATATATATATATATATATATATATATATATATATATATATATATATATATATATTCAATTTAAAAACTGTTGTACAGAACTGCAAAGGAAGACAAAAGTTTTTGAAGATAATATCTGCATCGTTACCATTCAAATAGGTAACGCTGTATATAATAATGCAATTCTCTCTTCATTTTTCTAGGGGAAATACTTCCCAAAAACTATGCTATCCATTAAAAATAGCCATATAAATCCCAGCTGTTACCAGAAAAAGAATTCCAATGGTTGATGTTTATGTTTAACATCCGATGCTTTCAAAATACTTCATACATCAGTATCTTTTCACGAAAAGTGAAAGAGTTTAAGTCACAAATAACAATCCATGCTGGCTGAACTATCTAGAACCATGATGGCAAACCTATGGCATGCGTGCCAGAGGTGACACATAGAGCCCTCTCTGTGGGCATTTGCACCATCAGCCCAGCTCATCGGGTTTCTGGCAATCACAAGCGCACCCCTTCCGGTTTGGGCACTCTGTGACAAAAAGGTTCCCCATCACTGATCTAGGAAGTGCAATCCTACCAGAGCAATGGGACACTTTGTGGTAAGTGCTCACAGCTGGCAATTACACTGCAGATACATGTAGAGAGGAGTTTGATAGGGCTTTTTCAATCTAACAAGTTTTCTTAAAAGGTGTAAGCTTTCATGAGCTTTTCCTGATTTTTGGCTACCATGAACTAACACAGCTGTCCACTTATAGGATCTCACAAATCGCTAAGGCAACGGACCAAATATTTTGAAAAATGGTAATATTCCTACATGTGACTTCCTGAGTAGTGAGTGGATCGCTAGTGAGGTCGCCAAAAGTTGAATGAACTGTTAAAGTATACTCAGTATTTGGAATCAAGTCAACCAGCTGCACATCAGTCACTGATGCTCCAACCCGCATCTAGAAGAAATAAATAAAACAAAGAGGCAAAACGTCAAAATAAAAAAAACAACATGTTTAAAAATGTTTTCTTAGAAAGAATTTATTGCCCAGAGTTACCTTGAGGAAAGATGGGTGGCTTGTAAGTTTTATAAATAAATAAGTAAACAAATTGACAGTTTCCTGAATTTTGCCATACTATACACCTGTTGATGCATTTGATTTTATAAGGTAAAGGTAAAGGTTCGCTTCGCACATATGTGCTAGTTGTTCCCCACTCTAGCAGGCGGTGCTTATCTTCATTTCAAAGCCGAAGAGCCAGCACTGTCCGAAGACGTACTCCGTGGTTATGTGGCCGGCATGACTAAACGCCAAAGGTGCACGGAACACTGTTACCTTCCCACCAAAGATGGTCCCTATTTTTCTACTTGCATTTTTACATGCTTTCGAACTGCTAGGATGGCAGAAGCTGGGACAAGTAAGCTGGGAGTTCACTCCGTTACACGGTGCTAGGGATTCGAACTGCCAAACTGCTGACCTTTCTGAGCGACAAGCTCAGCATCTTAGCCACTGAGCCACTGCGTCCCTGCTTTTATACTGTAAGCCAAATTATATCTCACTGTTTGGGTATATGGGAACAAATATAAGTATCAGAGAGAGAGAGGGAGAGGGAGAGGGAGAGGGAGGGAGGGAGAGAGGGGTGGAGGGAGGGTTGTTACCTCTTTTTCTGTTGCTGGTATTGTGGCATTGACAGGTTCATATAATAGCATGTAGCCAGTCGCTCCTTTTACAGGTTCCCACCGCACACGCATCGTCCTCGAAGTGACATCATAAGCATTCAAGCTTCTCACTGAAGGGATTGCCACTGTGAAAAACATAAATATTCCCTTCAGCTACTCACATCTACGGACTTATTTCCCCCCCTTATCACCCAAACATTGGTCATTTCACTTCTTTCTGGTTTGGGAAAAGGACATTGAAGGAGAGATTGTGGGAGCTTTTGCTTACTGAACTGGGATAATGAAGAATTGCAACATGGCGACACAGTCACATTCACTGACCCATGCAGATTTTGCTATTAGCTAAAGTTTGTGGCAACAAGATAGATGTTAAATAACCTGAAGCTTCTCACATAGGGATTACCAATTTTCTTGTGACCAGCAGGATTTTTAAAAAAAAAAAAAAAAAAAGATTCAAAAAGCTTTTTTTGTCTCGTGCCTAGTAACACCACAATGTCAACAGAGTGCACAGAGCCAATTTTATTTAGCCCACCTTAAAGGTGCTAAAACTATCCATTCCATTCTGTAACCCTCAAACTTTCCAACTACAAAAATAAAGAAATACAGGTTTAAATTGTTGGTGCTACTTATTCAAATGGTCTGGAAACCATAGACGAAAAATCCATGGGAAAGGAGAAGATTGAGTAGCTTCATGGTGGCCAGGCAGCAGAATCCAGATGACTCATCCTTCCCCTGGCATAGGGCCAGTGACCCATTCCTAGCTTGCTAAATAACCATCGCATAGGTCCCTACTAAAAGATACAGCATTCCTTGGGGAATAAGTGATCAAATTAAATATTCCATGCCTGTTTAGGGATCCGGTTGATAAATAATGGTCAAAAAAACCTACAGAGTCAATTTTATTAAGCAATTCCTCATGTGACTGATTCTTATCTTTTATGTAAGTTTTTAAGAAGTCATTCTCTGTTCTATGGTCTGGGCACCAATAGGCAAATGCTTTTTGCTTAATGTATTACAGATATTACATTAGGGTTCCAATGTTTTTTTGTTTTATATCCTGGGCTCCCTTTAACTAAGACAATGGACACATGTTAGGAGGTTGTGATTTTAAAAAAAACCATATGGCTTATTTATGGTTTATGTATCTTTGTTCTTTCATTCAATTTACTGTATATGCACCACCCAAAGTGCAATACATCTCAAAGCAATTAACATCTGGTTGAAAGCCACAAACAAACATTTCAAAGCAAAACACTAATGCACATCATATCTGAGGCCTCTCACATGTCTATCTACTCCACCCTTGCCAAACATTGGCTGGAATCAGCCTCAGATGAAGGAGGAGAACCACTGCAAGCCTGTGCCCCATAAATCCCAACCTCCTGACCTGCTCTAGATGGAACCATGATTGTAGGTATCAACAGCCACTGAGAGATCAAGCCATCACCAAACGTGCCAGAGATAACTCTTAAGTGGCACTTCAGTGCTGTATCCAAATATGGAGCCAGATCCTGGTCCACTTCTGACTCTGCATTCAGTGAAGGCAGTTGAAAGTTCCCAAAGATGCTAAGTCTAGGAAGCACCACAAGAAATATAGCCAGTGTCAAGCAATTCAAATACGAGAGCTTCTACATAGCGGGGAAGGCAGTGCAGTAGCAACAGTCCCATTGGATCCCTAGAATTTCACAAAAGTGGTTTCTGATGACTATCCAGAATTATCCTTCTGCAATCCACCAGTTTCCCAGGCAATAGCACTTAGACTTATATACCGCTTCATAGTGCTTTTACAGCCCTCTCTAAGCGGTTTACAAAGTCAGCCTATTGCCCCCCACAATCTGGGTCCTCATTTTACCGACTTCGGAAGGATGGAAGGCTGAGTCAACCTTGAGCCTGTTGAGATTCGATCTGCCAAACTGCAGCTAGCAGTCAGCTGAAGTAGCCTGCAATACTGCACTCTAACCATTGCGCCACCTCAGCTCTTCCATCAACTCTGTCTTGGCAATGCAGCAAGTACAACTCTTGAAACAGAGTGAGCAAATTTCTGAAACATCTCCACTTCTCACCTCATCAATCATACCCTGGTCTCTTGGGACAGAATTCAAGAGGACTGCAATGTGAAATCAGTAGGCAACTTTCGCATACCGTAGCAGCTTCGATATCACTTATGGAGATTCTCAATCATCCAGGTCATGGTTGTCCCAAAGGTGCTTTTTTCAAAAGGCATCTGGACTGCCTTCGTTTTTTTCCCCCTTTGAAACGTTTTGCTCCTCATCCAAGAAGCTGGGACTGAAGAAGCTTCTTGGATGACAAGCAAAGCATTTTCAAAGAAAAAAAAACCAAGAAAGTCCAGCCGCCTTTTGGAAAAAGCACCTTTGGGCCAGCTTTAATATCTTTCACTAGCAATCTCCTAAGGCAGGGGTCTCCAAACTTGGCAACTTTAAGACTTGTGGACTTCAACTCCCAGAATTCTCCTGCCAGCATAGCATGTGGACTTCAACTGGCTGGCAGGAGAATTCTGGGAGTTGAAGTCCACAAGTCTTACAGTTGCTAAGTTTGAAGACCTCTGTCCTAAGGCCAGTCCCTTACGAAACAAAAAGTAAAGGAAGTTTGCCATACATTTTATTAATATTATTTGTATGCACCTAATAATTATTCAATATGTCTATTATTTTGTAATTTTCACTTACATGTTGTTTCGGTCCCTTTTAATGGTTCACTACTAGTACCTTCTACTATAGAAAATACATTCACAACATATTCTGTTTCAGGCTTGAGGCCAGTGAGTACAGTAGTGGTATCCGAACGACTTACAAAGACCTGAACAAACATAAATCAAACAGCAGCAGATGTAATTGTTACATATTTCAAAAAATAAATGTAATATAAACATAGTTATTATCTTGGTTCAGGTACTAAATAATTTAAAATAGAATGTAAGTTGTCTCTGTACCAGATGTAATACCAGTAGTATATATCTGGTACCAAAAGCTGTAAAAAATATGAATTATTTGTAAAATTAGGATGTATAAATCTTAACACCCTTATAGTAAGTTTCACTGCATCATGGCTGAAATCTATCTGAAATATGCAATCACAGAAGACAGGAGAAAAGTATCCAAACGTACTATATATACGCAGAGGTGGGTTCCTACCAGTTCGCACTTATTCTATAGAACCGGTTCATCAAATCTACCGAACCCGTTAGAAGAGGTTCCACCAGTGGA